GCGCTAAAATAAGCCCTCCCCTAAAATATTTAAATGCATGCGAAGCTGGTCCCTGCCACTTCCGGGGGAAGGGGGGAACATGTCCCTAGCGCCCCGCATGCACCTGCCATCCATATGAAATGGCCTCATGGAAGCCACTCCCACAAACCCTAGCTACTGCACTCCTTCTCTTAGTGGAGGCCGCAAAAAGAGCAGCAGGCCCAATGACACCAGAACTTCCAACCCTCTCTGGATCACCTGATCCGCGGGCCGCAGGCTGAGGTTAAAGGGCCTCTTGCACCCAAAAAATAATAAAAACCTCCCTGAAAATAAGGTTATTTTGGGGGTCAATAAAAAATAAGACCCTATCTTATTTTCCAGGAAACACGGTAAGATTACCCATCCTGGATTATTTGCAGCACTTGATCCAAGAAGTTTCTAGACAATGAGAGACACTCTCCTCTCCTTTCATGCCTCACTTGATTTCCCCACGTACCTGCCACTGTTCCATTCATAAGTTGGTGGTAGTGCTGATTGAAGCAGGAGGGTACTAATTCCAATCTGATGACATAATGATCTTCTCACTATATTATGTGCGCCACAGTATGATGTGCCAGCAACCATGTTGGCAATCTGCTCAGTAGGCACTGTTCTGCAGGACCACATGCCACAACCATGCATACAATCTGCTAATGTGACTTTCAGCACACCATGCATGGAATCTTGGAGGGAAGTGTAAATGGGACTTCAGAAAGTCGTATCTTTCAGCTAGCAGACAGCTTATCTGTCAACCACTACACACTGAAAGTGGCCAATATGTCCTGGGTAGATTATTAGCTTAAATACTACCAAAGCACTCATGTCATGTGTAAGGTTATCTATTGGGAGAAAATGGAAAACATCAATTTAAATTAGAAAAAAAAATCAAAGTGCTTTTTGTTATGGGAATGGGAAGAAAGCTGTACTTTGAAGATGTCCTTCAAGAACTATTATCCAGACGACATTGAGCCAAACAGGGGCATGTAAATGTACCTATAGCCACTAACTCATTTTTTAGAGTCTACTCAACATTCTACAAATTTAATAGGTTGGAAATATTTGCACTTTTACATGGAATGGTAAAAAGCAATAGTTGGCTGTTTTTGCAAGATTTTTAACTTTGAAAGAGGAAATAGAGAATCCATGGAAACATTTTACTTACTTAGATACAGCCTTATATTTAGATTGCTATAAAAAATGCTTGTTGCTGGCCAAAATGACTTTTTATAAAACTATTTAAAAAACATTTCTCAAGATACATGGCGGTGAGATTAGAGAATTTTGCAATATATTCTGTACCTTAGCACAGACTTTTTTTTGTGTGTGTGTGTACTTTTAATTTAATAACTGACAATGCTTACATTTTAGCAAGGAAAAACCGCACTTGCTGTAGCATCCAGAAGCAATCATGCCTTAGTTGTAGACATGATTATAAAAGCACAGAGATACTACATCTGGAAACAGGTAGGGGACAACTTATTTAGCTTTTCTGGTAAAACATTATGTTATATTATACTCCATTATATCGAATTTCGTGAGAAAGTTCTGGAGTTTGAAGCTTCCTTGCAGAACTGGTAGGAAATCTTAGATCAGAAGTATCCTATTTCTTTCTTTTCCTTTCCACCTTGCCCAGCAGCCCTTCCTCATGCCATCATGATAAGATATTAAGAAGTTCAATTCTTAGGTTGCTTTTTAACTTCTATTTACTGAGTCTTGACTTTCCAGTTTTCTTTCTTAGCTGATAATGTTAAAAACCGACAGAAGTAATTGTATTTGTAGAAATTGGTAGTTTCCAAAGACAATTTTCATAAGTGTAATCCAAAATGTGTCTGCTTGGATATGTTGGCTGCTATCAGGCATGAAAGACCAGGTCCATATGTGAAGATCCAATAAACTGGTTTATTGCAGCCTGTGCATAAGAATATTCTCAACTAACAGCACCTGCTTGGAATTAGATACGTACCTACAGAATTCAAGGGGTGGTTGGACTTAGTCTGCTTGTGGCTACATAGGGATGCTAGGCTGATCTCCCTTTTGACTCCACTCTCAGGTTCTGCCACTCTTCCCACATGTGCATATTACAAACCAGAAAGCTAGATAGGGCAACAATGTACGTAGAATACCAAATACATGCAGTATCATCAGCCTACCTAATCTAGTTACTAATTTCCTGCTTGAATTAAGGTGTCATCTGTGTAGTTGCTAGTGGAAGATTTTGACGGCTTATTATTTGCAAACCCCCTCTCCCACTTCTCCATGGCCATTGCATTTTTCCCATCCTGGTAATGTGGAAACCTGGACTTGTTCCATGTTCCAGTCCTAGATGCCTCTGTCATTGGCACTCCTGGGCAAAGGTCTGTA